GTTGTCGATAACAACTTTTCTATACAGAAAAGTTGTCGATAACAACCTTTCTATAGAGAAAAGTTGTCGATAACAACAGAAAAGTTGTCGATAACAACCTTTCTATAGAGATAAGTTGTCGATAACAACTTTTCTATACAGAAAAGTTGTCAATAAGAACTTATGTACACAGAAAAGTTGTCGATAACAACTTATCTACACAGAAAAGTTGTCAATAACAAATTTTTTATGCAGAAAACTTGTCGATAACAAAGAAAAGTTTTCGATAATAACTTTTTCATACAGATAAGCTTTCAATAATAACTTTTCCATACAGAAAAATTTGTGATAATAACTTTTCCATACAGAAAAGTTGTCGATAACAACTTTTCCATACACAAAAGTTGTCGATAACAAATTTTCTATAGAAAAAATTTGACGATAACAAATTTTCTATACAGAAATGTCGCCGATAACAAGTTTTCTATTCAGAAATGTTGCCGATAACAAATTTTCTATTCAGAAATGTAGCCGATAACAACTTTTCTATACTAGAAATTTGTCGATAACAACTTTTCTATACAGAAAATTTGTCGATAACATCTTTTCCATACAGAAAGGTTGTCGATAACAACCTTTCCATTCAGAAAAGTTACCGATAACAACTTTTCCATACAGAAATGTTTGTTGTTCTATGCAGAAACGTTATCGATAACAAATTTTTTATACAGAAAGGTAATCGATAACCACTTTTCCAGAAAAGTAGTCAATAACACATTTTTTCAAAAATAAAGTTTGCAGATAACCACTTTCCTATAAAGAAGCATTGCCGATATTGAAGGAGGAAAACAGTTTGTAACAGCATAGCTCCTTATAAAAGGAAAGATTATCGATTAAAATGTTCCTTGAAGAAATCGATAATTATCAATAATATTTTTTTTATAAAACATATTTTTATAAAGAACTTTTTTAAATAAAAAGCATTTCATAAAAAGCTATCGATATAAATTCGCTATATAACTTTACTTCCTTATCCTCATAGTCGCAACAGTTCTCATTTACATTCCCTGTTCACAAAACTGTGAGTAGCTAAATATCAAAACTACATATGACATTTTAATGTTCTTACTTCCAACACTCTTTGGAATTCCCCCCCCCCCCACCCTCTTTCACTTCACATTACTGCTGCTCAGAGACAGCACAAGCAGCACATGTCTGCCATAACCTTAGTCCTGGCAAAAAAATTGCCTGCTTTCTTCCTTTATTCCATTCACTTTAGAAGCACTTAATTTCAGATTGATTCTTTGTAACATTTTCAAAAACTCCCCAGAGGGTGGGAGGTAATTCATTTGTTCTCACATGGCATGGCGGGTGGGGTTGGGGAGGATTGAATGTCACTTTCAATGTTGCAAGAAGCAAAAAAGACCGAACAAGATGAATCAACCCACAATATTCGGAACGGGCACATCAATTTTCGTTTGAAATGCCAGGGGAAAGGGAAATGTAAGAGGCAACAACAACTACAGCAACAATGGGAATGGTAATAGAAAAATAGCATCATCTATGGAAAAACCATCTGGTTTTCTTTGAATATGTTTGTGTGTTGAAATAAACCAAATGCCCGCCAAGTGGGCGAGGAGGGAGGGGAGAGACATAATCACATTAATTATGATTTGACAGAATTGTTAAAATTTTGTTGTTGCCATAACATTCTACGAACACTTTAACTTTAGCATAATCATGGAAGCACCCAAACGTCTGGCTGGCTAGCGAGTCCCCACAACACCACTTTGACTGTTGGTTATTAACTTCCTTCCACTTGGTGGCTTTAACACTTGCCAGGATGTTGTGAAAACTTTGCTGAGAAAAAAATGAACTTTTATTTTCTTTTAATGCCAGGACATCCCCAGAGTGGCAAGGCTAGGCATGGGGGGAGGTGGAAATACGCAACAAAATTCATAAAGTCACATGGCCCGTGTAGAATCGTGAACGTATGCAAAGGACATCTATTTGGCTGGCCTGCAACAAAAACGAAAGACACTTACAATACAACATGTTTTATGACTTTGCTGTTCCGTGGAGTCCTTTGGCACTCTCAAACAAAACACCAAATATCGTTGCTCTTTGGCCTCTTTCTTGTTTTCTACTGCCGTTCATTCGTTTTACTTTTTGAAAGTGTGTTAAATCGCTGGAATGAGCAACGAACGAATACCCTGTCAAACAACATGCATCCTTTTCAGAATTTTGGCAAACCAAATACGAAAATTTATTCAATTTAGTTACGCAGCTCAGGCACGTGTCGCGAGCGTGTGCACTGCATTTGCTGACGTTTTCCTTTCGAATCAACTGAAAACGTTCCAATAAATGTAAAATAATCATAACAATAAACATCATATTCTAGATGCCGACAATAGAGTTTCCGTTCCTCCGTTTGGCTGAAAGAAAAAAAAAGTTAATCGATGTTCTATGCACTGCTCAACTAACTGTGGCCATGTGGTTGGTGGTCTCCTTTGGAGTGTGG